TCTACTTTGGAGCCTTTGTGAATTCCATTGTACCAAGATCTGGGATTGTTTTTCAGGGGCAACAATTGTTTTGGGGTAAGTTTCTGTTTTATCAGACTGCATGCAGATTTGAAAACCTGCAAACTAAGCTGATCGAAGTGAAAATGACAGGATGTCCTGCGAATAGAAAATGCCAAACATAAACAAAAATAACATTGTCTGTGTGGAAATGGAGGATTATTTTCCCAGCATGTTTGCATTGTGCATGAGAAACATTTGGCACTCCCATCTGCGTGTTAACGGAGGGCTTTTAAAAATTTATGCTCCACATAAGGAGTTTCACTTGCTGTGTCTAGACCCCTACTGTTATGTAACGGAAGACCTTTAACCTGCTTAGGAACACTTTACTTTAGACTTCAAATGAACACAGGCTGACAAGTGCTATACTGTAGGTAGTCAGAGGTTACAACCTTACACAGATCTTAGTGCATGTTGCAAAATTTCAGACAGTAGGTGTTGAGGCTTTACAGATGAGACGCATTTCTTCGCCAGAACAGATGTTCATAAATGTATCTCCACAAAGCTAGTATCCCATTGTACTCCTGTTGGTTTTGTTCCTGTTATCCAAAACCAGGCCTTGGTTAAGACCTGATGTTAAGAAATGTATTAATTTTAAGTGTTTTGCCTTCTTAATCATTAAGTGTTTTTGGCACAATCGTAGTTAACGATTTTAGAATCTTATTTTAGTTTTTAGTTTTAGAAGATATTGACTACACATTGTTTGCAGGGAAATCTACAAAAACGTTTCTTGGAATCAATAAATAATCAGGTTTTATTTTTAAATGGGTTTTTGTTTGAAATGATATAGGTTTGCATAGGTAGGTGTGCTTTAATTTAAAGTATTAATGTTATTCAATTCTACTTGGAGACAACACAATGTGCTAGCTAACACAATCTTTTTGCTTAAGACAAAAGTAGAAGCAGATCTACTACATATGCAGTGCAGCTAATTTAAACATACCGTTGTGTGGTGTGGGGTATGAAGTAAATAAGAATATTCATTAACTTTGTTCTTCTTGTCACTGACGATGAGTTAGCAACCCTGCTTGTCAGTAACTATTTGTATAAGGCAGTGTTAAAACCTATGTTGAATCTGAGTTCTTAAGAGAGCTTAGTAAAATGCAGACTTGATGTGTTATAAAATGCTTTGAATGCTTTGGATTTTAATCTAGTGCATAGATAGCAGAAATTAGTAGGGGCTACTGTCATCAATGAAGCTGTTTACAGTTGATTGTAAGTTCATCAGGGGCATTGGCCCATTTTCCCTCTCCATGTTTGCTGTTCGCCAAGAAAATTTGAATAACTGCTTAGAGCTGTTATATTTGCATAATAAGATTCCCTCAAAATGCGTCCGTTCAGATTCTATTTTCAGCATGTGTTTGCTTATTGTTGCAAGAGATTCACATATGCTGTTAGAACATAGGCAAGTGCACATTAATATTTCTTCTGTGGCAGATGGATGTGGAGTTCAGTGTTATTTAGTTGTGTATTTACAATACAGTGCATAACTTTGCAGAGTTGTTTGCTGTGAATAACAGGTTTCAACATATTATCTTTGAATTTATCTGCATAACATTTTCGTGCTGGGCTTGTGCCAATATAAAAAAACAACAACAGTGCATTGTCTTTAACAAGAATTTTCTTCCCTTGTCTGAAATGTTACTGGGTTTCACTTTGAATACAATACATTTGTATAAAGTAGATTTAGCTCTTAACAATGAACCTAATCTTGTCATTTGGAGCAAATATGTTTCACGATTGTTCCCCCTTTTTGTAAAGTGACTTTATTTTCTATACTTTTCTAGTTCTAGGGAACCCTTAAATCCATTTCCTGTAAGCTTTTTGTATCAAGAGGAGGTAAACACTATCTGTGAGAAAAGCTACCTGCACAATTAACACAAGTCAATTTACTTTACATTTGTTCTTTATTCAAATGTTCTATATAGTGCTACATTTATATAGCAAATCCTACTTCTGCATTATTTGTAGCGAGGTTCTATAGAATTGAAATTTCCCTCAGCCATGTGCAGCATGTTGGGAGCAAAAACAGCAGAGCTGTTTTGCAGGTCGAGGGCTGTCTCACTGGCCACCTTATAAAGTGGCTGACAGTTGGTGAGAATTATACCAGTTAAGTTGTTTTAAGTGGATAACCTGTTAAAATGATCAAATATGTTAAACATTTGGCACCTTAGCTGAGGTGACTACTGGGTTTGCTGAAACTCTGGTATATATTAACTGATATGAGCTGATGATAAAAGCTTTATATGATATTAAATATTCATTTCCACCTGCATTGCTCATGAATCATCGGCAAATTGAACTATCTTGGTCGTTGAAGCTCCAGCCAAACGCACCTCAACAATTCTGCCTCTTTAAAGGCCCATCATAATTATAGACAACCGAGGCTATCCAGCATTTCTGTACATGTCACTAAGCATGCTGGGATGTTATTTGTTTAATGTATGAACCACACCTGTGAGAAAGCCCTTTCTTACAATATATGTGCTATCCACAGAACACGTGTGATTGCCCAATGACGTGATGAGCATGACAGTGATGCTACCCTCATGTCATTGCTTTCTCAGTCGCCAGATCCGAATCCATTCAAGCAATTATAGGACACACCGGAACAGCACCTCAAATATTCTTGTGGAAGAATAATGCTACATTTCTCGTGCAGAATTCCAGACTCTGGTAGACTCAATGGCTCGTTAGAGCTATACTTGCCACATATGGTGGCCTAACAACCTATGAGGGTGTCTTCATTGGTTTTTCTATTTTTTTCCCCGTTTGTACCTAAACATTAAGTGCCATCTGCTAGGAACACTGAAACCAACGTTTTTTAAAAAAAAGCTTTTTCTTCATGTTTAACTAGAATGCTTTAAAATGCTGTAAAAGACTCTGATTCTACTGTGGAAAATGATTTGATTAAGCTTTATTAGCCTGTTTGTATTGTTTTCACTGGTTAATCCCGAAAAAGGCCAATAAACCAGTATTCGGCAGTGCTTTCTTTTCAGACCACAAAGAGGATAAGAAGGCTCAGTATCAGTGACTTATTAATATCTAGGTTTTAGTGTTGACAATGGTGTCTGTTGGTTGTGAAAGCTTAAATTGTATTCAATTGAATACTAGAAATGTCTTTCTGTTCTAATTAATAAAAAAAAGATGGTAAAAGATTAAATGTATTAGTGTAGACATTTCCTTGGATTTCACTACATAATTCTAATTTAGTGTATTTAAGTTTCATGTGTATACTTTAAACAGAATGTTAAAACTTTGACACTTGTATGCATCAAAGTGTATGCAAGTGAAATTCATTTAGATACTATTATTGTCTGCTAGCAACTTCTTACCTTGATTGAATAAAGCTTACTCTTTTAGGCATTATAAATTGTGTTTTATGACTGCTTAATTAGTGAGTGATAAAATAAATGGTCAGTTAGCCCTGTTGTACCATCCAAACTAACACTCTCTGCATCTTTTTTTGGTAATATAAGACACTGGAAACTGAAAGAATATAATAATGGAATATAAGGAAAATGCTTCTATTTAACTCAGCCCAAAGATGCTTCTGCAGGAAGTTGCTGTCCACAAAGTGAGGGTGTACTTTTTTGCTAAGTATGCCTTGTTTAAGAATATTTTGCTCTCTCAAAACCTCAATTGTGAATTTTGCATTGACCTCATCACCTCATTTACAGTGAGGTTGTTAAAATAGAGGACTAAAGGTCTCATTAAAGTGTACTATTCTGGATCTCTTTTATCGGACTATGTTGTATGGTTTACATTTTAATCTAATTTGGATATACGAGTGTATATTGTGTTGGATTGCTTCATTCCTTGTGGTTTTGGACTTTGGAGTGAGTGTTCCTTATTCTGCCACATTTAAATAAATTCCAAACCCAAATCCCAAAGAGCACAATTTAAAAAAAAAAAAACATGGCTGCAGAACAAGGTGGGCTCTTCTTTGTTTTCTTGCATGTTTTGATGTCCCTTCCTTGGGAGGAGTTAGAAGCTAAGTAAAGAGTCCAATACTTATCTCAGCTTTGCAGCGGAGCATCATCTTTCTGTGTGGTGAACAAACTGGTTCATAGTTTAAACTAAGAAAGCCGTTTCCTGAAATGCCTTTTATAATCCTGCACAATTGAAAGGTGCTGCTGCGTACTGTTGTAGATTATTGCTGTCGGCCTGACACTGTGCCAGGCCCAGTGCTGTCCAAACAGCTTCACTCCAGCTTTCTTTGAGGCTTCCAAGTGCTAAACTGACAAAACAGAGCGACTAAACAGATTGCGATGGAACGAAAAAGAAACAGGCTTAATTTTCTGACAGAGCGCTAAACTATATATGTATGTTTCAACAAAGGCTGTCCAAGCTGTTTCCCCAGAACAGTCATTAAATGAACAGTGCACCTTCATAAATGAAGTATTGTTTTATCTAAAGATTTACAGGTTTTTCTTTTAATGTTTTATTTAGGTTCCCTAGCTTCCCTTACACTAAAATAAATGTATACACTTTAAAATGTATAAAAAGCGTATTTAAGCACCAATCTCTTTCTGTAAAGCTGTGTATTTTCAAAGTGTGAAAGCATTTACCTAGTTCAAATATAAAGCTTTTCTTTATTTTCTTTATTTTTTTTTAAACCCTTCTTCATGTAGATTGGTTTGGATATTCGAATTCTGACACTCCTGTGGTTATGCAATACCTGTTCTTTTTATTTGTCTAAACTTCTTTTTTCTTGCTAGTTTCAAAATGTGAGATTCTAGTACTATTCTGACTTGAAAAAAAGAACTCTTCATTTTTGAGAAGTTTTTATCGGTCATCATTGACACTAACAAAAACTTTTAAATCTACTGGAATTGTTTTTAAGTGGTGACTTCTCTTTGATTGTTGAAGACTGAAGAAAACCTGAAGGCAGCAGAGCAGAGTCCTTTATTGATGCATAAGACTTTCTCCTTTCTTCTTAGGGTTGGTTGTGTGAGCTGCTTCGCTGGAAAGAGGATCCCTCCCCTGAAAACAGGACTTTGTGGGAGAACCTGTCCATGATCCGCCGCTTTTTGAGTCTTCCTCAGGCAGAAAGAGATGTCATCTATGAACAGGAGAGCAATGGAAGTCAGCACCATGTGGACCGACCACCCCATATGATGCACGTACCAACTGATCCTCTGCAGGTCAGTGTAACTATAAGGCTATGATTATGTTTTTCTTTATTTTGTTGTTCAGATGTGGGAAAACTTGCAATGGGTCGTGGTTGGGCTAAAGATTGTGAAGGAGTTGCTACATCTTGTATATTAATTATTATTTATCGGTGGATTAAGCATTGCAGACACATTGTACAGGTATATTGTCTGAAGACAAATATAATTTGGACCCATGAGTAGCATGTGTAGAATGACAGTAAAACCTCATTAGAAGCATGAGATTCTCAAATGAATGCCAGAAAAACAGTATTCCCTTACTTTGACCACATATTGCTGCAGGACCTATGGGAGTTATATTGCTGCAGGTCATGTATGTCCTTCCCCTTCAGCCTCCTGCTTTAGTTTCTTTGTATACTATACAACTATGTGCTATTCCCTGTTTTTTCCAACTCTTAAAGATAGCATCCTAGTACAGCCTTAACCTCTTGTAATTATTATGGTATGTATTTTTTTTTAAAATAGGTACATGTACAGTATGTAAACTTTATCAATCATGGTCATACTAAAAAACATTACATTCTTCTCCTTATTGTCATTACAAAACAAAATCCCTTAATTGTAGTTTTCTTGTATGCAAATAGCTATAAAAGATGTCCGGTTAGCCTGTAATCTTAGATATTGAACATTTAAGAAACCTCTTAATAATTTGCCAGTGGATTATACCTGAGCTAGTGTTAAGGGATTCTGGTGTATGCAACCTTTTGTTTCTGTGTTATAAAGCTGCCATCTAGAATAATGTTCTCCTACCAATGCAATACCCCTGTCCTATCTTTTTACTGCAATCAAATTTGATTCATATATTTATGGGGGGAAAAAGGTTGCCTGGAATCTCTTTGCTTAACCGTGTTATATCAATACATCTCACCTCCCTCAACCTTACAATTTAAAGTCACTCCAATTATCGTTTCGCTGCCTGAAAAAGCAAGATTGCCTAAGAAAGAATAAGTTTAATGCTATTGAATGGCAATGACTGGTGTTTGAATGTGTTTTTTCAAAAATCGTGGTCCCGATATGGTGTGTGTGTTTTGTGTGAAACGTACAAACTACCAGGCTGAATCAACAGTTAAAGTTTCCCAGTTTTCAGCATGTTGAATAAGTGAACGGAAGTTGACACATGCATTTAAAAAAAAAAAAAAAACGATTACGCCCTTAGATTAAGATAAGGTATTTTTAAAAAAATGTACAATGAACACAAATAAAAAGTAGAGTGTGTGAAGTTGGGAAGTAAATCTGGCACAGGCTTTTTCTTTCCCCTCACAAACTTTAGATACAGAACCTCCAGCTCAGTAATGGTTTCTGGTTTCTAGCTGAGTTGGGTGTGAAACCTATACACAGAGCTATTGGGCCTCTGCTACAAGTTATTAGCTAAGTGCTTCCTATTTGGAATGTTCAATATTGCATCAACATAGGCGCCGATTTAATCAAGAACGCTGGGGGTGGTCATGTCTTAACTTTAGTTATGCCTTTAGTAAATTCAAAATTATCATCTACATTTTTATGTTATCAATTACAATTAATACTTTTCTGTATAATTGTTCTAATAACCCCTCTCTTAAGATCTAACATCTTAAATATAATTAAATATTAATAATGTACTATAAAGAATTTTACTTAGAGTAGTGATATTTTAATGGTGTAATATCCAATTGACAGCCATGAAATATACTCAGGAATGTTAATTGAAATAAAATGTTTAAAGCAGTAAAAATTACTTTTTAATTGTTGACAACATGGGGCTTCACTAAAAGTGACCTCGTGATTTGTCCTCAGGTTGGGTTTTTTGATAGAATTGCGCAATTAATTCTATCGAACAAATGTGTACACTTTGTTGTGTACATTTACATAAGTTAATAGAATTGCCCTGTTGATACAACAATGATTACTGTACAGTGTACTACTGTACTACTTTATTACAGTACATTTACTGTACATTGTTTGCTTTGAGAGGGACATACTTGCTGGGATTTTTTAACTGTTTTCTTGTTACAAAAATAAAAAAAACACTTGTAAAAGGCTGTGTAGCAGGAATTATAAATATCCTCCCAAAGAAACCCAAATGATGTTTTGCTCTGTTGTTGTCTCCTTAACCATAGTCGCAGCAGCACCAACAGCAGCAGCAACATCCACAGCAGCATCAACCTATGCAGCAGCAATCGCAGCAACAGCCACAGCCAGCAGGGCCACGGCTGCCCCCCAGACAACCTTCCACTGCGTCGCCAGCTGAGTCAGAGGACGAGAGTCGTCAGAAAACTAGGCCTCGAACCAAAATCTCCATCGAAGCTCTAGGAATCCTGCAGAGCTTCATACAAGATGTAGGCCTGTACCCTGATGAGGAAGCCATTCAGACTCTCTCTGCACAGCTGGACTTGCCCAAGTACACCATTATCAAGTTCTTTCAGAACCAGCGTTTCTATGTAAATCATCATGGGAAGCTAAAAGACAATTCTGGCTTTGAGGTGGATGTGGCAGAATATAAAGATGACGAGCTGCTCAAGGACTTGGAAGAAAGCACCCAGACTAACAGTACAATCTTTTCCATTAAAATAGAGGAGCATTTGTCAGGGGAAGGCAATTCAGAATCAGATTCTGAATCTAAAGATTAGTATTTTTATTTCCTTCATTTAAACTTTTTACAGTGCCACTGAAAATACTATTTAAATAGACTTTTTTGAGTGTTTTTATTTTTTGGGGGGAGGGGGGGGACTGTTTTTTTTGGTAATCCCGTATTATTCACTGTAAAGACTGATGCTTCTTATAAGAACTTGCACAAAACTTATTAATATGTACCCATGGATATCGCAGACTGCACTTGACGTCCTTTGATCTGTTTATACACTGATATTGAGCTACTGATGAAGTCATTGGAATTAATAGACTGTTTACTTGTTGTTCGCTGGATTTTAAATGCAGATATTCGGAACACAGTTGACAAGTCCTTAGGTACTGAATATGAAGCCTGCTGGCAAGCATTAAGTTATTCTTTCAAACCTAAACTTGATTATAAACCACTTGAGCTCTGGAAATTAACGCAGTAAATGTGCGTTTGAGAGTATGGCTTACTCTTTAGATATTATTTGTTAGGAGAAATATATAAATTATATATATTGACTGTAAAAAAGATACAGTTTTAAAAACTATGCCAACAAATGCCTTGTATTATATGGCACTGCCGATATTCAATTTTTTTGCAAAAACTTTGTCACTGTAACTTTCTGAATCTCATCTTAAAGGTTTAAAATGTGAAACACAACTTTTATTTGTCTCGTCTTAACATTATTTATTTGCAGATCCTGCAGCATCCTGATGTAATTAATTTTTTGGAAGTTTTGGTTATGTAACGCTTATTTTTTTATTTTATTGTACTGATATTTTTTCTATTTATAAATGTATTTTGATGGGCAGTAAAACAAAAGTGTCTTAAAAGTTTTAAATGGAAAATGTGCTTTAAAGGTTGCCTATAAAAGTGCTATATGTTAAGCAACTCATGCTAAAAGCTTCACAATAAATGTTGTATGCAATTTTTACTATCATGCAAATAAGCTTAGGTAAATTACTAACAGATAGAACACCTTAGAAAAAAACATATGCAATTTATGTGAAATTCGATGTTTGCAATGTGTCTTCCTTTGGTTTACAATCCAATTTGAAGCTATTCCTGTATAAATATTCTGTATAAAAAGTGCATTTCTTTTTTATGAGTTTTCTTGCAATGAGAACACCGGTTATTTTGTTACAACTGGCTGTTTTATAAGTGTTTCTCAGTTTCTTTATGCAGAAATGTTCTAACTAGGAGTGGTTATTGATTGTTAATGACACAATTAAAATGTTTGTATGGTACAGCAGATTTCTTGGTATTTATATAAGCCAAAAATTTGCAGCTTGAAGGACTTAAGACCATGTGAAGGTAATTGTTTCATATAATAGTTCTGAGTGAAATGTGGAATAACGTGTTATGCATAGGGATGGGAGTCATACCATAAATTAACAGGGCGTCATGGTGCATTTTCAAAATGTTGGAGACCAGAGGATACGAGATCATGACGGAACAGATAATTTTTAGAAACTCACAAATTCTAAATCTCGAACAAATAGTTGCTTGAGTCTGAAATCAGGAATATCAGAATGTCACACCATTTACAGTTTTAATTAGAAAGCTTCTTGGAGCATCTACTTAAAATCACTCTAGATAAATTGACAGATCTCAGGACTTCAGTGCTATTGTTCCAACAGTCACTTTTTGGACACAGAGGCATCTTGATCTATGAACATAAACCCTTCCTTTATTTACTGGGACTACAGCATTACAGGACAGAAAGCTGTCAATTTTACCTTAACCTTTACATTGCTTTGGGAGAAAATTGTGGTTCTACGTATTTTAAAAGACTATAATACAGTGTAATACACATTAATACACCTTTTTTAATGCCACTCCTTCTGAAATACATGTGTATTGTGTAGATTATGCAAAATACAAATTTTGCTCATTTTAAATGTTTGCTTTGTAGCCAAGGGAGACACTTTGTTGCTTAACTCAGGAGTTCCTTTCCCCAGAGTTCCAGGGCCCTGGGGACTCTCATACCTGCTGCTTTTCACTCCAGCCAAGCTCTTTACTCCTCTTCAGTCGCTGTTTTTTTTTTCTTCATTCAAAATTTAGAGACCTTAAGTTGTGTGAAATGAAGGTGAGTGATTTAGTTAAAAGGCACCTTCCACTATGAGGAAGAACTGAAAATGGAGTTAAAATTGATATAATTATGGGGGTGAGGTGGCCAATTATTGTTTGTAACCAAAATGAAAACCAGCAGGTCTTGGACCCCAGAACAAAGGTTGTGAACCCCCTGATTTAACTGACTACCTCAATGTCATTTGTGCATATTTGCATACTTAAAAAGTTGAGGTTCAATGTATGCTACCAAAATTAACAAAACACACCATAAACACCACCACAAAAGAAAATCCATGCCACTCATGAACAACTTGACTCTTATCACTAGCCTTAATAGTATTATAAATCATTGAATTTGGCAGGCTGAGACTAAATGGTTAATCATAAAGGTATTAGTTTTTAATGTTTTTAATTAAATAAAACTGCATTTAACATTCTATTAGAAAATGTAATGAACCTATAATTGGGAAAAGGCAAGTCTTTTCAGATTACTTTGGCCTTTGCTTAATTAGTGCTCCTCACTAGGCACTTTAAAGTTAACATTTTACCAGCAGGAAAACCTATGATCAAAAACATCTGTTACAGCTAAAGTACTTTTCACACGTGAATATGTGCCTGATGCCTTGGGATGAACATACATTTTCAATGATGATAAAATATGTAAGTCACAAGAGGTGATATCTTAAGTGCTTTAGACATTAGAACACTAGACCGTAAATATTATTTTTGGAGACCGTGATTTACAATCAATTTCAAAGGTAATGTTCTGAAGTCCTTCTGCAACTTCTGAGAAAAGTTTCAGTGTCTATAAAATTCCAGCAAATGTGGTAGTCTGAATTAGTTATTTCTCAATGCAAAAATAGAATGGATATTTCTCGGATATTGTAGAATTTACAAACTCTTTTTAAGCAAATACCCTATCGTTGCTTTTATCATCCACTTAGCAGTATTTCTAAAAAATTCTAAGTTGCTTTGATATTTCTTGACATGCATCATCATCATAATGCTTAATGTCATGTGAGCTTGGCTGGTTCCATCTTACTGTAGGCTAGCTTGGTTTCTGAAATTGAAATAGTGGGTATTCATTTACAGGCAATGGGAAAAGGACACCTTCAAGGAAAATATAAATACCAATTTCAGTGTTGACAAACCACTCTTTTGAATGAACCTTGTATTGCTTATTGTAGTCAATGCTTATGCTTATGATCAGTGATGACAAGACAGGGCAGGTGGGACCACTAGTGTAATGGGTATAAATACAACCATGATGTCCCAGGACCACAGATTTCCCACAGTGAGTAAGCCAGACAGCTCAGCAGATACATAATATATATAATGAAGTATATAATGGGAAAATGAGGATCTAAAGGTGGCATGGTGGTGTTGTGGTTAACATTGATACTGTACCTCACTGCGCAAGGGCCCTGTGATTCCCATTCATTCCCATTCCCATTCAAACTTCTTCACTCAAGCCTGTCAGTTTTAAAAATCAGACATTCAATTCTAGACCTGGGGTGCTACCTGTGTGGAGTTTGCATGGGTTTCCTCCGGGGGCTCTGGTTTCCTCCCACAGTCCAGCGACATACTGGTTAGGCTTCTGAGAAAATTGGCCCTGGTATGAATGTGTCTGCCTGTTTGTGTCTTGTGATGGACTGGCATCCCATCCAAGGCGGACCCTGCCTCGCACCCCTTGCTTGTCAGGATAAGCTACAGTATGGCTCCCCACAACCCTGAATTAGATAAAGCAATTAAAAAATCTGAAGATTGTATAGCTGGTAGTTGTGACCTGTAACTAAAGCCTTGTAGCATTCAAATTATGTTAATTAAAATTGAATATGTTTATTTTCTCTTTATACCTTAAAATTCTAAATCTCATATGAAATTATATAATTATAATCCATATTATAAAACAAGGATACTTTTGTGTTCAAAGGGAAATATTCTTACAGTTGTATACACTGTTTGGAGTTGCTGGTTTCATGAGCCAAAATATGAGCCTTTTAGATTTCTTCATCAGCACTAAAGAATATCTTTCCATATAACTCAGAAGTACTTAACACAGATGTAGAATTGTATTTACTGTAAAGCATTAAATTTCTATTTACAAAACTCGCTAGAAACTAAATCAAAAGCCTAGCTCTGTTTTGGGAGAACTAACTAAACTTATTTTAAGTCTCTTGCTACCAGCAAGACAGCTGTCCTGTTTTGTGACTCAAAAACACTTCCTATAAACTAGTCCACACTTATTTCATATACTGTAAATAATAACTATAAAGAAAAAACATAAAGCAAAAAATTGGTAAAGGTTAAAATAGAATGATTTACAAAATATTTTAGTTTGTAAGCTTAGCATAAAACAGCATAACCAAGAACTTCAACACACTAGGTTTAACTACTCATATTATCACAGGAGTAGAGGTTGACATGAATGTAATAAATTCTCCTCATACTACCTCAGATACATTGTTTTTTTTAAAGTTATAATTTTTTTTTTCCAGTGACACATAGGTGGTAATTTCTCTTGACCACATTGAGGAGCTTAATGGTACACTACTTTTCTAGTTTAGAGCAATACATTTATTAGCAGTAATTCATGCCATTTTAATAATAATGGTATCCGCACTGTGCGCACTGACATCCTCCCACAAGACCAGCCTAGGATCTATTGGAATTTCCTTTCCAGTAACTATCTTTATAATCTCTTGCACCTCTCTCCTATCTCCAAGTGAGAGGAGGACCCAGAGAGAATCAATTTCTACTTTAGGTCTTGGACACAATTCGGAGTACCCAGAATACATTTTTTTAAGTCTTTGCAGTGTGAAGTAGATCCCAATGAATTAGATTCCATTGAAACAAATTAAAAATATTAAACTCTACTATTAAAAGTCAATGACATTTTTCACAAATCTTCATCCTTTCATCCTCATCAAAAACAGTTTAAATCAAACTCCTACTTGATTTTCACCTTTTAATAAGTCCTACAAGTGCCTGATAAATAGATGAAACATAACCCTTTACAAGTCCAGAAGATCATATCTAGTTCTACTGGATTAAGGGGTGAAAATAGTCCACTTTGTTGCACCCTAAAGTAATTCTTGACCTTTAAGAAATGTTTAGTGTATGAGTTATTTTTAACTTCTGTTGATCAAAGGTCATTAATGAAGATTCCCTATAAAGATGCTCAAATGATTACATTCCACTGTTCCATATTTGTGTAATTCCATCTCTTAACACCTCAGGAAATGCAGGATTGTTGTGCAAGGATCTGGCTATAAATAGGTAGCTGGGTTTTAAGCCTTTTACAAATATCTGACCATTTATGGAAGTTATTAACTGAACTTCAGGTGGGATAACAATGACACGTTAATCTCACACAGTTATACCTATTCAATATGGTGTGAAATGAAGGGATAAAAGGGTGCTTTGAGGCATTGTTCCATCCTCAGGATCAAGGATTGCGAAGTTTTGCTCGTCATGTCCATAAAACCATAGATTGTGATGTCCAAGAGTACAATTGGAAATCAGGTAAAGCTAGCCCTCCTTGACTTGAGTCATAACAACATAACACTTTAAGTGTAATTCTGACTACTTTCCCTCTCCAAAGGAAAGTCAAAATTCTACTATTCAAATGTTTAAAAAAATATTGGGATACTTAGTGTACAAATGATAACTCAAACCTTTAGCCTGTAAAATAAGAGCATCAGTCCAGATAAAAGGTATAGGTATTCATATAAATGTTAATAAGATTGCTCTATATGCTCATGATGTTATACTGTTTTTAACAGAGGTGCACAAATCAATCTCAGCAGCAGCAGCAGATGTCATTGAAAGTTTTGGTAAGATGTCAGGTTATAAGTTCAACTGGAGCAAAACGGAGCTTATGTATCTCAATTCATTATCATTGAATCATAAGATTGCTCACCCAGTACGAGTTACAACAGAGATATTGTGTCTGGGGTTGCAAATAAAGTTTAGCTTGAAAGCTACCAGAGATGTTAATTTAAGAGACTTGTTAAATAAAATAAATGGGGACATACTCAGATGGAGATGTTTACCTATTTCCATGTGGGGTAGAATTAATATAGTCCAGATTTCAATACTACCTAAAGTAAATTATACACTGAGAAATGGTTTGAGGCGCTGCATAAAATGATTACATCTTTGGTCTGGAAAG